AAAGTTTAAAAACGATAGGAATAAGATCTTAGAAGTGTTACTGTTGTCAGAAATAAACAATAGGTAAAAGTATGTTTTTAATCATTTTATTCAAACAACAGTAACAAAATAATAATAGAGAATTATATATGAACTAATAATGGTTTATCTGGTATCGGGGCAACTGAGCGAAATGATTTTTCTCGATGAGGGTATAGACGAAAAGTGAGGGTGAGGGCGAAAGGTGTTTGGCGGTTGTAACTTTCGCGCATTTTGCTGAAAAACCTGTTCACAGATATGATTTTTCGCTCAACGGACATCATATCAATCTTCTTGCTAGTACTTTCTCAACATCAACTTTACTAACATGTTATCTTAAACCATATTCGAAATGTTCGACATTTTTCCTTTCGACTAAAGTCAATACATTCATATATTCTACCGCATTTTTATAATCTATTAAAATAATTAATAGTATAATTACCGACTAGGAAAATATTTATTGCTATTTATTAATGAAGCTGCTCCATCGAGTGTATGTCTTGTATAATCAATAGCTGGACACTAAAAATAATTTTCTTTTTAAATCATTTAAATTAATATTTATTTACTTCTTTTGGATTTTTATGAGCAGCACATAAGAATATCCATTGTTCGGTTGCTGTCATTTGAGTACAAGTTTCTGGTAAACATTCTTTCTAAATACCAAAAAAAAACGAATTAGAAAAAAATAAATTTTATTGAATTAAATACTTGTAAAAGAACAGTTAAATCATTTAATTCAAGACAAAATTGTCTTAAATGTTCATATTTCCAAACACCTTCATCTTGTTGATCAGGTGCTTGAAGAATAAAATCAATATCTGATGGATTACGTCGAATAGATTGTTGAATATACTATTCGAAAGAAAAACAACAGAAATGAAATAATAAATTTAAAAAAATGATAAAATTTTACTTGTTGAATATGATACAATGAATCCATATTTTCTGATGTTTCTTCAGGCCAATGACACCAGTCTTTTGCTTTAGTACCAGGCCGATTACGGCGTAACGGTAATTTAGTATTTATTTGTAGATCAGTCATATCTAAAATATCAACAATATATATATACACTAAACAATGAAAATAGATAATATGAGTATTGCTATAGCGGAGGGTTAATACGTGCGAACGAGCTATATTTTCTATAGTTTACCAATATCACAGGACAACATACAGGCATGGACATGAAATTATATCATTAATTTTAATTTTTCAATAACTTCATCAACTGTATTGACAACTACAAACCAATCTTTTGCTAACTCTCGACTAATAAAACCTTCTTTAGACATATTTTCGAATAAGTCTAATAATGGATTATAAAATCCATCGATATTAATAATAAATATAGGTAAATCAATTAATTTAAGACGTTTCCAAGTTATAGCTTCCATTAATTCTTCTATTGTCCCTGGACCACCAGGTAATGCAATAATACCATCAGAATTCATCATCATTCCATGTTTACGTATATGCATTGTTTCAACTTCATGTACTTCTGTCAAACCAGGATGAAGTGTTTCAGTTGTCATAAATTTCGGTATCCATCCAATAACTTTTCCTTGAGCACTCAGTGCTCCATTAGCTACAGCACCCATAACACCAAACTGAGCGCCACCATAAACAACAGTTATATTAATTCGTGCAAGCGCTTCGCCTAATTGTTGACCAGCATCCAAAAATTTCTTATCACAGGTAGTACTCGATGCACAATAAACACAAATACGTTTTGGTATCATCTTGAACGAAACAAAAAAACAAAAATAAATAAAATTAAAATTTCTTATTTTTTCTTCTTATAAAACATAAAACAAATAGATGTACAGATTAATATGTATATATAATATATATTTAAAGATCAACACGTGATGCAAGGGGTATATTTCGAAGTTCGTATTTTTTGGAAAGATGTTCCGATAATATTGTCATAATAACAATGGAGAAAAATTGTGTAACATACCAAGAAAATAAACGGGGAGATTGAGAATTATATATCCAACAAGCGATAAAATGATATACATGGATTGTTATTGAAAAATCTAGACATTGTTTATATCGACCAACTATATAAACAATTGCTAAACCACTAAAAACAGAAAAAAAGAAATAAAATAATCTATAGACAAAAATTCAGTTAGTAGGAGTGTTGATTAATCATCAGGATTCAAAAAAACAAAAGTCAGTTACAAAGGGAGCTGACTTATTTTCTTTATCATACACCATAACAGACATAGCTTTAAAAGCAAATTTTACTAAACATGCTTATTGATTATTAAAAAAGGCATCTAGTATTCTATCCCTGTACAGTTTGTATACTTGATTACACCATGCTAAACTAAATTCAGATAGCAAAAACTGCTGAGTGAATCAAATGCCGAAGTTCAATGGATTCTATTCGAATATATTTCTTACCTTGTTAAAGCATTGAGAAGAAATACACTGCTAAATAATCTACCATTCCAATTAGATACATTAAATATCTAAAAATATTTTCATAAATAATATAATCAATAGAAATTTATTATTTTTTCATACTTCATAGGAAAAAATATATTCAAGTGTAGGTGGGCGATCGACTAACAGTGTAATAAGTAATACCCAAAATCCCAGACCTAAATAATACAATGTTTGTATAGAAATAATCTGACTAATGATCAACACTGGATCCCATTTCTGATAACGAAAACCATTCATTATATTGTTTGTTTGTTTTTTTATCTAATATAAAAGCATATCTAGAAAACAAAAACTAGTTATTCTTTTACTTCTTGTTACGGTCTTCTTATTTATTTATTTTTACATCGGCATAGTTTTATGTAACTGAATAACAAATGCTCGACAAAAACAAATGAAACGAAATGAACAGTGATCAAAAACAAAATGTCTGATTTTTTATTTCTTTTTACCCTTTTTGTGATGACCACCACCCGATTTCTTAGGTTTACCACCTAAATAAAAATAATTTAGAAAATAAATAGAAGAAAATTTTTTTTATCTTCATACCTGGCATAATAACACCTTCATATGTTTGTTGAAACCATTTTATAGCTTCGTCTTTTTTAATTTTATGTGAAGCACCCATACTTGCTTTTTTGTGTTTTCGTTTACCAATATCGAAACCGGCGCGACCGAGTACAACATAAAAATCCATACCATAAATACCAATGGATGGATCATATTTAATACCTAGAAAAAGAATTGTATTTAATAACAATAGAAAGATTGTATGAATAATTAGAGTTCTATTGATTCTTAAATGTAATGGGATATAAAAGACAGCCTGACATAATTTTTCATACCCGCGTATAGATAAAGAATAGAACCTAATGATTTTTTCTATAAGAGTGAATCTGAACGGTAAAGAGAGAAAGGCGAACTTTTGATAAAAGATTGTAGAGGGGTGTGGGTGTCAATGGCGGATTTAGGAGTAGGGACGACGGGGGTAATTGCCCCCCTCCTTCCGATTTTTTTTTGATTTTTTACAGCAAAAATGAACAGAAAAATAGGTTCACACTACTTCGATTGGACTCAAAAAATAGCTTTCAGCCAAAATCGCACCCTCCTCTCCAGGTATCGCCCCTCCATACTCAATAAAAATCGCTCTCCCCCCTTCTAAAATCCTAGATTCGCCACTGGTGGGTGGAGGTGTGGATATGGTGTCATTCTTTCATACCTACACCCCTAGTTTTCTTTAACTATTTCTTTTAAATATTGAATTTACCTAAATCGATATGTTCTTGGATACCAAAGCCAAAATTACCCATTTCACTAAAGTTATGTTTGTGTAATTCGTATTCTTTAACTTTAAGACCTTTTTCTAAAATTTCTTTGGCTTTTTCACCACGTACGGTACAAAATACACCGATTTTTTCATTACGACGAATGCCGAATGATCGAACGGTATAACGAGCTTTTGAAAAAACTGGTGTTTGACCAGTTAATTGTTCGAGTACTTTTGATGCACGTGTGAGACGATCACCAGATTCTCCAACACAAATGTTTAAACATAATTTTCTAATACGTAAATCTCGCATAACATTTTTTGATTTATCTTTCTTTATAACTCGACCAGTTGTTGTTCCGGTTTTTGTTGCAGCTGTTTTTGCTGGTGCGGCAGCTGTTGTTGTTGGTGCTTTTCGACCGGTCATGATTTTATCTTTTTAAATCCAAAGATATTTTCAATCTATAAATAATAAACAAAAGTTAAAGAATTACATCGAATAGAAGATTACATTAAATATGAAGAAGAAAAGAAAAAAAAAGTGTAAAGACGAAAAAAACAAACGGATTTTCTAATAAAAAGAAATGCAATATACAAATCACCGAAGAAAAAAAAAACGCGAGGAATGATAAAATAAATTTTCGAATAGCTTTAATATGATGACTAGAAATATATAAACACAAAAATCTATTCCTAATTACAATAATCAATAAAACTATATGCGTACTAGATTTTGATTTCGAATTTGTTCTTTTTATTATATTTTATATTTTAATTGTTTATTTGAAGACCTTGAAATTTTTCTAATTGCGATTGTTGTCGAAGATAATCAAATGTTTTTTGTATTTGACTACGAATAAATTCATCACCATCATTAGATGATGTATGTGTTGTAGATGATGTTGAATCAAGTTTTGATATATCACTTTGAAGTTTTTCAATTAAAGTATTTAATACATTTATATCAATCTTAATATATAGAAAAAATATAAAGAAAATATTGTGAAGTTTTGTTTTTTCGCTTACATCAGGATGATTTTGATTAAAGAAATAAATATATGAATTTAATAATTCATTATATAATTGAACTTGAGCTGTTTGATCCATTACTTGTGCTATTAATTTCGCCGCTTTTTTTAAACATGCAATTACTTTTTCACTATCACGAATCTAAAGATAATAGATAGATTAAATAAATTCTGTTCATTTATAGAATTATTTTTTCGTTGATAATCAAGCGATTCTTCTTGTAAGAATAGATACTTTACTAAATCGGATACAAAAGTATTGAATTCGAACTTAATCCTTCGGCGGTGTTTGTGGATCCCAGGAGACTCACAGTAGTGTTTTTTTCTACTTTAAAATTCGAAGCGATCTCTTCGTTAGTCTTCTAATGATGCATAAGAACTACATAAAATTTCTTGCAAAACTATCAGCAGCCGAAAACTAGAGTATGGGTCGGCTTAGGCCTCCTGACAACACTCGTATTATACCATTTATTGAAAATTGGTTAATTTGTAGTTACCAATAAGGAATTATGTGTTTCTCTATCCTTATCTATCTATCGAAATATTTTCACTATCCTCTTAACTTTTGGTCACGATAATCGTAATTCCGTTTTTTTTGAATGATCAGCGTCTTACGTAAACTACAAGCATATCAATGCATTAGTGACTGAAAAGAGATCATGACAAAGACCTCGATCTATCTTATAAAGTACAATACAGATGAAAAGTCACGTTTTCCTTATATATTTACATGTGAGTCCACTTGGACCCACATACATCGTTCGTGTGACAAAAAGCGTACACCTCCGGAGGGTTAAATCATACTCTAAATACTTTTAAGCAAAGTTTCATTTGTTTGCATTGAATGATCATATAATTATCAACATCTACTCAGAACCGGAGCTCGTCAAATTCAGCCTAATCAACAATGATTTCAAGCTAGAAATGAGAATTATCATTTCATATACTGACTAACCTGATCTATATTTTTTTATATTCTCCAGTGGTTAACACGTACATCTATTTCTTAGCTCATACAGATTCTTAAAGTCAATTGTTATCCTTTTTATATAAAATACAGAATTTTAAAAAAATACGAATAATTAAGACACTCATGCTGTGAAATACTGTATTAGTCAATTATCGCATTACTACTAACATTATATAATATACTGATTATCCATACAAAAAAGTTTTACTGAACTTCTTCTCTAAAATTATGGCATCATTTAAAATGACTTCTTCTCTTTTTTTTTACCTGTTCCGATTTTTGTGTTGATTCATCAACACGTTGTGCACTCCAAAATAGATGAGTACATAAAAGTAATGTTCGAACTTGATCTGGTCGTTTAACTAAACGTGTTGCAGCTTGAGTTAATGATTGTCGTAATGTTGAATGATTTTCTTCACCAAAACAGCTCACTTTTTCTAATGTACCTATTAAAAGTGTCAATGAAGCACATTGAGCTCGTGTATCACCTGCTTGTTCTTCATATAATGTATAAGCCTTAGAAGAAAAAAAAGAAATTCAATAAATTTTCGATTCTTAATTTTGAAAGAAATAAAATTACTTGTGAAAAAAATTCATAAGCAATTGTTTCAGCATTTTCTGATCGAATTTCACTTGCTGTTAATGCACCTTGTAAATAAAGACGTAATGATAGATCATTTGTTTCTAATTTTGTTAAAGTATTTATTAATTGATTAGATAATTGAAATAATTTTTGACATTTCTTTTCCCATTTTTCATCCTACAAATATTCAATTAAAATAAAAAGAATATAAGTATTTTTTTTTGATAAAAACCTGTTCTCGAATATCTTTATAACGAAAAGTTAATGCATATGCTTGCATTATCATTGGCGGATAAGTAAAACGCATACGTTCTAAACCACCATTTTTAAATGTATCTTGACAAGTTTTTATAATATGATATTGTTGATCCGGATCATTTATTGCTTTAAAAGTATTGCATAAACGTGCGACAAGATTTTGTTCTTCAACAAAATCTTCATTTGTTATTGTCTGTCGAGAATGTTCAAGACTACCATCAGGCTGATCAATAATTAATGTCGATACTAAATCAAATAACTGTGTTACTTGTTCAGCTGTTGGAATAATTGTTTCTTTATCAAGTATACTATTAATAATATACATGCAAACAGTATGTCGTTCACGATAACTAAGTAATTGTAAAACAAGTTTATAATGATTTAATTTAAGTACATCAAGTATATCATAACAATCAATTGGTATTTTAAGCATTTTAACTAATTCTTTAGCTGCTTGTGTACCCGTTGTAACTCTATAAAAAAAAAGAAAAAATTTCAAATTCTATTGAGACAAAAAAAAGTATCTTACTGAGTATCCAAAGCAATATTATCGAAGATTTGTCTAGTATTTTCAAGTACTTTATTTCCATATTCAAATTGATCACGATAGCATTTTAATGATAAACTAAGTAAAGCACTTTGTAAGGCAACGATATCTTCTGAAGGCATAGTTGAACGACTCTAATAAATAATTAAATATAAATAAAACAGTTCAACGGTTATTATAAATTCTAAAGTTCTCAGAATTCTTTAAGATGGTTCCGTACGAATAAATTTCAGTTTAAATAGTATTTTTTAGTTCTATTTCGTTTTCTAGACATTTTTTCCCCAGGGAGAATGTTCAAACACTGCTGAGCTTAAAACCCGTCATGAGTATTATATTAATCAATTGAATTTACTTTGATGACTTCAGTAATTTGTTCGGAAAATATATCGAATAATTGAATATTTTCAGGAATGTTTTGTTGATCACGTGTTGAATAAGATGTTAAACTTAATTTAAAAAAAACAAAATAAAATAATAATAAGAGGAATTTATGTTAATATTACCGATCAATAAGTGAAATAAGAATATTGCGAATATTAACAGTAGGACTTAATTCACGGCAACCTTTAAGGAATTCATTGAGTGTATTTAGATGATATTCATCCGGAAAAACCTGAAAGGAACAAAATCGAAAGGTATTTTAACAAAAGATATGAACTTACTTGTATAATACATTCCATTAAATATTCTTGCGCAATTGCATCGCGACAACTAACAACTTGTTCCATAATTTTAGGAAGTACAATCTTAATTAGAATAATATAATTAAACTATTTTTTCTTTTGTTGATATGTCTTACTGTTTTATATCGTTCAACATTAACACATTCAAGTTCACTTAAACGTACTAAATTAGTTCCAACTAAAATACGTAATTCTCGGCGTTCTTGTTCACGGCGGTTTAAATCTCTTTACAAAAGAAAATATATACACAATACAATAGATTATTTTCTATATCTACCGTGTATGTCCTTGATATTGCATTCGTACCCAAAGTTTATTCATTTCGGAAAAATTTAATAAAATAAAATCAAGCGAATCAAGAATTGTTCCTGTTTTATTTTCTTCTCTAAACAAAAACAAAAACAAAATAAGAATTTAAATTATAATCAATAAAAATTCTTACTGATTTTCTTCTTCCGTATCCGGTAATAAACTTTTTGCGCATTGTAATAAATAATTTCGAAGAAATAAACCACGTAACGGATGTTGAACACCACGACACATTTCAACTAAATCACGAAGTACTTCACGACGAGGTAATTCATTTGCTCGTATATAAACATGACCAATCGTAATTAATAAATACCTATAAATAAAATAAATTCAATGATCCGCATAATGAGATATATCTATTAAAAGCAAAAAATTCTAATTAATAATAATTTCCGACTAGATTATACGCATGAAAAAGTTTTTTACAAAACTACATACAATCTTGGAACAATATTGCCAGCATACTGTACAACTTCATAGAGATCATGACTACCACGTCCATGTTCGAATTCATCAGTAAGATAAAGTTCAAGATGATGAAGTTCTTCAACAACCACAACGTCTAGAGAAATGAATAAATAAAAAAAATTAGATTTTGAATATTTTCGGGTTCTCTTCCTACGTAATTCATAATAATTTTTAGGTGATAAAAGTGATGTACGTAATTCACCAAGCATATTAGCAGCATGTTTAAGTCCTTCCATAACTGATTGTTGATCAAGAACACGTTTCATTGCAAATGCATGTTGTCGAACATTTTGTAAGGACTCAGCAAGTAATTTCTCTTGATTGTCCATTGATATTCCAGCAATACTACCTCGGCTAGTATCGGCTGTTTTTTGCTGAAAGTAAATAATTAGGAAGTAAGGAATAAGAAAAAAAAGTTAATTAATAAGCAAAATATTACCATTGAAAATGATAAAGACTTAAAATTTATCGATTTATCTAAAAGAATACTATTTTTATCATTTAAAATAATAAAAGAAGTTTTATGATAACGTAAAAATAAATAAACATCAACAAATAATACGGACGCATGTCTACGTGAACAGAATCTATCCATTGGAGATTCGTTTTGCCTTATTTCTGATGTTTTCATAGTTAGAAATCGTTGATCAAAATTTTTACATTTCTATAAAAAGAATAGTTTTATTTTTATTAGGATTATTTAGAAAAATTCATTTGATAATAAACATCATTTATTAGATATGATAACTATAGATGACGCTAGATGTCGTGTTTGAATTGCGTTGATAATATATTGTTCATAGTATAAAATATTTGGTCGTTCTATAAGACAATTATATGTCATTACTTTACTATTCAAAAAGTGCTAAAGAATATGAATAATGTTTTGGTTGTGATTAAACGTTTTATTAAAAATTAAAAAATGTGTTTCTTTGACGAAGCTGGATTATTATTAACAAATGTCTTTAAAAATTAGTATATGCATATGATGATTTAACTAGTAACCAAGTTGTGTAATTTTGTCAACAGTCGTTCGGCTAATCCGGGAGCGACGCCTAACTTATGTTTCATATGATAGTTCAATCCTGCTGCTTTGAAACGACGAAGAATTTCTTCGATATTTGCTGGATCCGATCCTAGATGCAGACGAACATAGGCTGCTACCTCAGCATGAGTAAACATATCGCCACTCAACATAACACCAGTGGCATAATAGAGATCATCGGAGAATTGTTCGGCAATTTCGGATTTCTTCTTCGTGGAATCTTGCGAGTAGATCAGTGGTACTTCGAATATTAGATAGGAAGTCGATGGACCGGTACAAAGTGACGTCGACGGGTAACTCAGTTCTTGTTCCATGAATTGACAAACAAAGTTTTTCTTGCGTGCAATTTCCATACCATTGTCTACGATTAAAAAGTTGATTGTATGGCTAATAGCAAGAACATTTGTCCTGCTTACTTACCGACAATAAATTGTTCCGCATCGTGTTGATGTTTGCTCAACCATTGACAAAGAATTTCAGCATTAACACAGCCATTTAAATAACTATGATGCCAATAGAAGGTATTCAACTGCGCCATCAGTTGTGGAGATGAACTGATCATCGCCATACCGAGAGCATTGCAATTAAATTGTTTACCAAATGGATGAGTGTGAAGCCAACGCGTAGCCATTGCACTACGAATAAAAGAAATATGAGAAAGATTTTCAAAGATTTCATCTCCGTGCTTCACATCATCATCATCAAAATCTTTTCTCTAATACTTACCTATTCTTATGTTGAGCTAATCGTTTCAACCAAATTTTCAATGTATTGACGATTTCAACACGTGGATCATGCACACAATAGTATGCATCATCGATCAACAGATAACTTTCATGTTTCCATGCTAAATCCATTAAAAAGTTCACCACATCCAGTGACCATTGTTTTCCACTAAACAAAAATTTATGATTACGTATGTTTCGAATTCAAGTGTACACGTACGTTGGATTATGTTGTGTATTGATAATGACTAAATCGATCTTCTCGGGTTTTTGTTCGTCCAAATATTTGGACCATTCTTTCAGATCCGGAACGAATTCCGTTCTCGGTGTAAGTGGTAAATACAACACCTTCATTTTGAGACTTTCGTAGACACCGGTATAATCCCACCCCGGTTGAAATGATACTGCAACAGAGAAAAGTACTCAATGTTTGTCAATGATAAATCTCATTTCGTGTCATTCTGGTTCACTTACATACGACTGGTTGTCGTTTATCACCCTTTTTTTCCAGCTCGTCCACGATGACTCTACCTAGATCGAACATGATCAATCGTGTCGAGTTCATCAAACAGCCCACTTCGAAATCTTCTGGCTTGACAAGTTCATCATCTAGTTCATGATGACGAATCATCAGTTTCTTCAAAATTTGTCGGTGTTCTTCCAAGCCGAATGAATATTCCATATAGCCAAAATATTTCAAATCTAATTTGAGTTCATGATCGATAAAGTGTTTCAACGATGGACATACTTCAGTAAAATGTTCACCTAGCAAGTGAGATTTATCGATATGTAGATGTTCAAAAGACATACGCTTAGTCTTACCTTTCGATGAATAAATAGTTGGACCAGCTGGTTCACCAGCTGCGATATAGTTCGCATATAGTTCTTGTTCGTGGGAAGTACGACGAAGAATTTCGTTGGAATTTAACAGATGAGTACGAGCACCTTCGTAATGAGCATCGACGCGCGAAGATGATTCGATACCAAAGATAGAGCAGAGAGTCGATTTCGAAGACATTAGATCTGAAATGACCGATAAGTATGCGAAATGTTTAATGAAAAAAACATCAGTTATCAATGTATAAGTAATGCGATGAACAACAAATAGTATGAAAAGATTCGATTACTTTTTTGAATAGTCTCACTAAATAGGGTCAACGGGTGCGAAAAAACGAGATAAGTAAGGATTGGTTCATCCGCTTAAGTACAATATGTAATCGTATTACAACAATTCTTCTCATTCTTTTACATCTTAGTTCGACGTATCTTTATTCGCATCAACAGATGACACACTTTGACGTTCGCTCGTCCGAATACTGTTCTTTGTCTTTTCTTTTTGTTTTGAATTGTTAAGGTAAACGAAACAAACATAAGAGAAATTTAGTTTTTCTTTTGCTGTCATTTTAATATTGAAGAGAAATTAAGATCTGTTGACGACCTATACATCTCTACACACTATGAAAAACTCCTCGAATCAGTTGAGTTCGATCCAGAAACATCCATATTTCTAGAAAAGAAGCTGTTCAAGCATTATTTTGCTTTCAAGAGAGGGTGTAGGTGTGAGTGGATGTGCTCATTTCAAATATTCTCACATCCATCTTTTTACATCGCACATAATATAAGACTGACTTTAACTGGTTTTCTATGAATGTTCGAGCGGAGAACATCGATAAAGCATCTTCACTTTTTTTTTCGGCGAAAACATCAGTTTCCAACAGATAAAATGCCACCCAGTCATAGCTTTGATAACAAACTCATTCTTTGACATCTGACAAACAAAAATAAGTGAAGATGCCGTCGTCTTCAATAATCAGTCTTTCGGCTACCATGTACATGATGTTAGTTTGTTATCTCTTGTCCTCAAGCCTATACGGTGACGATGTGGGTGACATTTACGAACCATCTTAGTCAGATGGCCAATATCCATTCACTCACCCGCACACCCACACCCTCATTTCATCAGATGATGAGCGAAGTGTTGGACAAAGTGGAAGTAACGTTCAACGCACGTGTTATCTTTCTGCTGGTGTGTTTCGTGATGAACGGAATAGGACAGAAGCACTCGAGGATAGCAAATAAACTAATATTTTTCGAAAAATGGAAAATCTCAAGTGTACGACATGAAGCGGTAGTCGCGTCAAAGTTTCTCCAACTCATGCACACATGCTCCATATATTTCATTGACATTGTTAGTTGGGCCTGTATAGTTCAATGTTATCTTTTATTTCATATTTGCGAAAGACAAAAATGCAGCTGCAAAAACAAAAATAAAGCTGAATGAAGTCTTCTTCGCTGAGTTTCCACTGTCCTCGTTGTCAGAAAACACGTTTCGAACTGGGTGTGTGTGTGGGTGTGGGTGAGGGTGGGTGTGGGTGTGGGTGTGGGTGAGGGAG